AATTATACATATAAAATATAAAAATTGATTAAATTAATTACATTTATATTATATTTTTAATAATTAAAAAAATAATATCAAAAGTATATTAAATTAAATGTGTAATAATTATTTTTTATATGAAAAACCTTAAAAAATAAAAACAATAATGATGAATAGGGAAGAGAGAGGCAAGGCAGGCACAGCTAAGTTTTGTGTTTTTCAAATTTTAATTATTATTTATTAATGATAAATTAATTAATTTGTCAGGTTTTTTAAAGATATTTTTTAGGTTCAATTTGTCAATTTAAATAACCATCATCCACGTGATTTAATAGTAAAATTATCATGTGTTTTTAACCACAGATTTATGATTCAATTTATAATTTCTATGTATAAAAAATTGTCGATTTAAATATTATACTAAATGCTTCTAAAAATATATTCTGCCAAACATAAATTTGTAGTAAGGGTAACATGCACTTTTTCAAAAACCCTAATATACTTATGAGAAATATGATTAGAGCATTTTCACTTACATAAAATTCTAAATTAAGTTATCAATTACCTAAATAAGTCAATAGTAATTCTCTTTGAATAAAAATAAAAAAATCTTAAATTTGATTCATATGACATTCAAATGAGGTAGTTGAAGAAATGTGAGAAGATTATGGGTTAATTTGATAATGCTGTCTAATGTTACCCTATAGTTGGAGTTGTTATAAGTGTTGTATTATATTGTCACGAGAAATATTTTAGTATTGGTAATTATATTTAAAAAGAATTATCTATTGTAAAATTATTTAATTAAAAACATTATTATTTAAAATTAAATTAATTAATAATTTAATATAAAATGCAAAAAGATTTGAAAATTTTATTAAATTATTTAAAAATTCTATTAATTTTGGATAAAATTACTTTTGTATTGTATTTTTTTCGGAAAAGTAGGGTTGGACAATTTACCGAGCACATAAATTTCAAAAAATTTTGTAAATATCTGTGAAAAGTATTATATGGAGCATTTTTAAAAGAAGTTTGTTTTTTATTGTGCAACTTAATATTAAAAAAATTTAAGACTAGGTTTTCACTAAATTTAAATAGAAGTTT